TTTTTTCATGAAAAAAGTGTGCCTTTGCACAAAAAAGGTTGAAAAACACTGATCTATGTTGTGTTTATGTATGACAGGAGAGGAACTTGTATGTGTATAAGCTCATGAAAACCCCAGCGTTTTCCAAATACCGTACAGAGATTAAAAATGTAAGATTTATGGACGTGGTTCACACAACCCATTGACTCAGTAAAGTGATTTATTCAATGTTTGGCACAAATGCATATTGCCATCGTGGTTTGCAGCGACTAAATGTGTACAACATTACTATGAGCCATTGTGGTACATGGCTTAGAATGGTGTGTGAACCTATTTTGGATGATGTGAAAATCCGTCCATTTTTTGCTTGCAGTTACAGGAAAGGTAGGGTATCAAATTGGCGGGTGGGTCTACACTGTTATTATTACAATATATGTAGCCATCCACCTATCCAAGAACTCTGCAGAACAAAGAAACAAAACAATTATATAAAAACAAAGATAGAACCAAAAACTACTAGACAGACCACACACCCATGCTAGAGGCCCAAACTAACCCTTCCCCCACTGCCTGGGGGGAATTTAGGCAACTGTATGATTTCACAGTATAAGATGTGATCCTGTATCTTTGGTAGATGGTGTGATTTGAAAGGAATGAGAAGGAATGTTTTCCTCCAGAGAATGTTAAATTGATTATTCTTTACCCAAAGGAGGATGTGGAGAAAAATGGTATTTCAATTCGGCTGACTCAGTGAAAACAGGGCATTTGTGGTTCGTTTTCTTTTACTGTATAGAATTGGGGGGAAAAGCTAACTGCTCTTTTTGGCAAGGGAGCCAACCTATAAGAAGATGCATACATATTATAAATGACATCTGGAACTTCAGTTGCTTTTCAGAAAAGAAATGGTAATATGAATGTGTGAAATGGTGCAGGTGTTAACGTTCATTTGTTTGTGTCTTCAATCTCTTGAATATGTTTGTGCATGGTCTCTTATAGGCCTGGTTCATGTATTGCACTGAGCAAATCCATCATTGTTTGACCATGCTAAACCATAACTGTAGTTCACAAATTTCAGTGTCTCTGTTCATATAACATACTAAATCAAAGTCCAATCAACCAAATAATTTGTGAACCAGGCCATATTTCCTTAAGTGAAGTTTGGTCGTAATTGGAAAATTGTATGTACAATTGTTGTACTTGCAATATCTTGCAACTTCAAATCTTACTGAGTTGCGAGGTATAAATTAAGACCAGACTGAAATTTTGAGGGTAACAAAATATGATTCTGCATGTTTATCGATAAATGACTGACTAAAATTTCAACATAGAAATATGATTTGCATCCATGCTCAAGAGTATGAATCATTATGCAATAGAAAAGAACCAACATGAGGAAAGGAATTGACAGGTTGGGGTGGGGACAAAATTGTGCACTCCGGGCAGAGAGAAAAAGAGGTGACAAATCAAAAGAGGGTTGCTTGGAACATTCCAAAGTGTAACATTTTATTGCCCAATCCTACTTGGTAAATTATTGTAATTATTATATAGATGAGAGAGGATTCTGAAGTCTTCAAGATGTTGCTGAATTCTAATTTCCAGTGATATATACAGCCAGCTCAATGGTGTGATGTGCTTAGAATTGGCTCCTCAACTTCTGGTGGTGCTTCCTCACCCCTCCAGATACTCAGTGTGCAAGGGTGTGTGCTCCATACTTGTGTGCTGCATCCCTGTCCTTGCCTTAAAGGACATGTGCACACCCAGCTGAACGGGAAAGAATCCTTCCTTTGCCTCTCATAATAGGACCAGACAAGGTGCCTCTTTCCACGGTGGACTTAGCATTTGCTCTGCCTCATCTGTCAGAACAGTTGGGTTGGGTTCTCTTCCAGCCTTGTAGCCTTCATTACATTCATTCATTAATAATTAACTGAAGCAATGATTTCCGGATGAGAAATCAAGCAGGAATCTGGGTCTTAATCCAATTAATTTGTTTTTGACCAAAGCCATCAATTTCTAACTATTGAAAAATTAAGCTTCCTGAGAACTACTGAAAAGTGTGCATTTCTCTTTATTCCAAGGGTTCAGAGCACCTATTGAGTGTGTGTGTGCACCTCAGCTTCCCTCCAATGCTTAAGGCAGAATCCACTGGCTGGGTTCCTACTTTATGCGTATGTTTACTTTTGGCTTAGCTTAATGTAGCAAGCCAAGCACTCTAGTTTATAAACCAGGCTTTATGGCTTAAAAGATAATGTTTCTTTTCAGTCAAATTTGGCTCTTGGTGACACAACTGACACATATGTGCAGTTTTTCTTGGCAATGTTATATATAAATCAAGCACTATTAAAGCAAACGGAGGCCTAGCATGATTTATAAAAGAATCTGTAGCTAGAATGCTTGTGCTTACAACAAGTTTATGAAGTCGGTTAGGCTGAGAGATCGAGACTACTAAAGCTTTTTGCTTGATGCGGATATAGACCTGCAAATCTTCTGCAAGTCTGCCCAGTTTACA